AGGCGGGGAGAAAATGCAATAGAAAAGAAAAAAAAAACCTCTTGAGCCAAGAAAGAGGTGGTTTAATAAAAGCAAAAGCAAAGGCTGCATGTGGTAGCAAAAGGAAAACAAGATTTTATTCTCTAATTCCCATTAGCAGGCAATGTCCAGTCACTTCTGGGGAAGCAGAGCTTCAGTATGCACATAGTGGTTGCTCTGGAAGACAAAATGTCATGAAAAAAAAAAAGAATGCCCCCCCTTCCTCCTCCTTTCCCTTAGCTTTTATCTCTGAGCCGACATCATATGGAATGGAATATTTCTTTGGTCAGTTTGGGCCAGGTGTCTTGGCTATGTCCCCTCCCAAGATCTTGCCCCTTTGCAGCCCACTGAGGGGGGGGGCGGGGGGATGTTGGAGACACAGCCTTGATGCTGTGTGAGCTCTGCAGTCACCAAAACACTGGTGTGTTATCAGTGCCTTTCTACATACCATTAGGAAGCACAGAACTATGAGGGCTCTTATGAGGAAAATTAACTCCATCCCAGCCCGATGCAATGCAGTAGGCTGCATGCAACAAGCACTCATGCATTGCCTAGTACATCTAGTATCTACTGTGTCCTCTAGCATTTTCATTTTGGAGTCCATGAAAAAGAATAGGAAGTGATGAAACTAAGGTGGGTTTTCCAAAACATAAGTATTGTGATTCAAGGGAGACCGCCATTCAAAGTGATTTATAATGAACAGATACTCTTCTGGGTTGTTCAGTTTTTGGGAAGGTGGCACGAGGGGTGGGGGTTGCCTATGCTTCCCATTCCCTTCCAGCTCTAAGGGGGATATGAATTCGTTTCAGCATCCTTTGCTCCCTCAAGGACAAAATTACAGCTCGCTATCATGGCTAAATTTAAACAGAACAGTGTCTTTTGATTTTCCCTTATCACCAGGGTTATGGTAGAAGAGGCCCTCTTCACAGCTGTAAACTACATTTGAGGGGATGTTTTGCTTTTCCAATCTAGTTTTGCCTTTCCAAGCCCTTTTGATCTATCTGTGCATTCTGACAAGACAATATCATGCATATACACCAAACAAAATTCACTACTTCTGAAAAAAATTACAAACATTTCCCAGTTTTGCAAATAGATCTTTCAATTCACAGAGGGTCAGAGGTAATAACGGAGTAACTACTTGTTAGGCTGCTGAATAACTGTACAGCTTAATGGCATGAAAAATAACAAAGAGGTTGCATTTGAATGTCACATTACAGCCTGCCTTCAGATAAGCAAAACGGGGGCTAGATGATTCCATCAATATGTATTGTATCTGTATGAAAAGAATATACTAAGTATTTTAAAATATAGTTTGATTATCAAGTTTTATAAATCAGTGTTGATACTCTGAAATTAAAAAGTACCCAGTTTAAGTCCCTGTTTTAATGTAAATTAAATTTACATTTTAAATCTTAAATTATGTTAAATGTAGGATATAGATAATGTAATATTAAGGACAAGGACTAGATTAAACTTGCAGAATAGAAGAGTTCTTACTAACTTCAGTAGAAGCTGAATCAGGCCTTGAAGCGAAAGGGAAAAGTGCATATCAACATAGCCTGTGTACATTGCTGCTACGACGGCAAGCAAAGAACTCAGTGCAGGGTTAGGTGGCATGTCACTGATTTGGTTGGTGTATGGTTTAAAAAAATGATCCATTTGGTCTTTTTGCAGGCATGTTTCATTTTTCTGCAAATTGTAGGTAATTGATTCAAAATTCGTCTCGGTTCTGGGCTATATTAACAATTTTTATGTCTTGCACTAATGTGAAAGAAAAAGAAAACCATTCCATTATTCACAAATAATGGAAGTGAGTAAAAACTTTGTCTGAACAGGGCCTGAAGAATATGGCTTTATTTAATTAACATTTTCTGGCATGGCTTCTGCATCTGTCACAGAAATTTTACTTTCTTTTTCCTTTTGGTATTATCAGCAACCTGAAAGTATAATCTGTCTTTTATTCCTAAGATATACATTTTATATATTGGTTAAAGGTAGGTGCATGGCCTGTCTTAGTCACCTCTTTACAGATGGAGTTGCTGAACTTTGGAAATTTCTTAACCACAAATTCAGTTTTGAAGTCAAGGACTTGAAAATGTAGTCCTTCCTCAGTTTCCCCTCCTCCTTGTCCTCCTTTCCAGGACATGCAGTCAAAGTACACTCCTCGCACTCCACCTGGTTAGTGGGTATGCATGGTTCTTCTGTGTTTGTCCATGCCGGTGGAAGCATGCATTGTGCAAGAGTCTGATGTCTTTTTCAAGGCAATGAGAGGTAGAAAAGTGGACAAAAATGAAGGAGGTGGAAGATGTTGAACAAGTCCTTGGTTAAACCTCTGATAGTCTGTCAGTGAGGAAATAAAAATAGTACGTAACATAGTTTTGCTCTTGACTTGTTCATCTTTCTTCTGCAGACCATAATAAAATAAACCGAGTGATCTACTGAAAGGAGACTAAACTTTTCAACTCTATTATTATTTTTCTCCCAAAGAATGACTTAAAGAACAAACCCGAGAAATATGTTTCACATCTTTTTCTTTCTGCCTCCCTCCCACACACATGTACACGCAGAGACTCGCCACAATCTGTACTCCTCTAATATGTTCCAGTGTGCTGAAATAAATATAGATGGAACATTAATTTTGAATCAGTGTTTGTGTCTTGTCTTAGCAACTTGCACAGAAGCCTTTCTGCTGTGCACTGATATGTTTATATAATTTTATAGATATTCAACAACTCTTAGTATTTACTCAGCCTTTAAAAATAAAAGACTTTCAGGGGGGATCTAAATCTTCCTGATGACCAGTCCTGTTTGGCGTTTTTGTTTGGTTGCTTGAATTTCATCCTAATTCAGAAATAGCTTATGTTCTGTTATTTTTAACAGAAATATTGCCGATTACTGATGTCTTTTCCTGACAATTGCAGAGGCAGTTTCAGGCACTCGGTCTCTCCTGAATCAGATCATTGCATAACACTTCAGACAAATGAACACGATATTTGCTGCAGTATGTGATTTCTACAGTTAAACTTCAGCATAAATAAGATTTCAGTTTCACAATAGCATCTCTGTTTCTTAGGATTCTTGGAGTTAGATTTGTCAGTTTTATATGGCAAAAAAAATGCTTTAGGCGCTGGTATTATATAGGTAAAGGATTGCACAAAGAAACAACAACAATAAACCCTAACGGGAGAAATAAATTTGTCCTGCATGTAGATTATCTTAGTAAAGTCATCAGATAAAATCTTGATAAAGTCATGGGGAATGGATCTATTAAAATACAACTTAATAAGTTTGAAATATAAAGGAAGTAAAACAAGTGCTATTGTTTTTATTAAGTCACTGATTCACATTTTATTTTGATTTCTCTGTGAGAGCTAAGACTTCCTATACTTCTAATTTAAAATATTATTATAGCAGAAATTTCACTGGATCAGAGAAGCATGAAATAGCCATTTCCAAGCCATGTGGTGATGACAATAATAATAAAAGATGTGTTATTTTCTAGGAGTCTACTTTCTATTCAGGTACTTAATTTTAGTTAAAGTGCAAGACAGCTTATGACTTTTTAAAGAGAACCTTGAAGTGATTTGGGTTATTTAATTAAATAAAGGAAAACTAGATTAAACTGGATTTCTTTGGGTTAAACAAATGATGAACGTTATTCTGTGCAGCCAATAGTTCTTTTTCTTAAAGACCACTGCTCTTTAAGACCCCTTGTTTCTGGATCTGTCAAGGAAAGACAGTGGAGAAGTGTTTTAAGCATGTTTATGAAGTGTTTAAGTGTTTATGGGAGTTGAATAGCTGCATTATGTTCTGTTAGTTATGGCACAAGACCAAAAATTTCATTTATAAGCTCTGGTTACTCCCAGTAATACTTGCTGCATGCAGTAACAATGTTAACAGTGCTTAGCGCTTTGCATTACAAATTTCCAATGATACACGCACAGCTCAGATATGTAGGGTTTTTCCAGGAAGGAAGGAATGTGTTGATCACAAGAACTACCGTGGGTCTGTAGCCTCCAAAAGTTCAGGTTTGGAGACACTGAATGGCTTGATAATGGCATTTTTAAAATTTTACTTTCATTATCTTACCTACCTCTTCATTTTTGTATCAAACTGCAGCCTTTTTTAATCCTGAGTACGATTCAGTGGGTATGTTACTCAAAGATGAGTACCAGCAAGGTGTGCATTTCAAGCATTTAATGTTCCAACACAATCTCAAGAACTGAGAAGAAAAACAGACGAGCTTTTTAGGTGCTTATAATTCTTGTAAACCTTTCAGTATGCATTTCTAAACTCAGCTGCACTTTCCATTATTGTTGGAAATTTATTTATTGTCATAGTATGTTCCACTAGTTATTTTCATTGAATCATCCTTTCCTTGTATCTGTCCAGATGTGCCTTTCTTTGTGTGTGTGCTGCTCTCATCTGTGGCAGGCTATGGGATCTTAGAACTGTGGGCAGTAATTGAGACTTCAGCAGAGACAGAGAAGAGCTGTACTGCTAGGAAATTATGTACGCAATCGATCTTCATGTGTGTTTGTTACAGCTACATGCTGTGCAGTGGCAGTGATGCCCACAGATGACCAACTGAATGCATTTGAAATTAAAAACTAAGTTGTTCTGTGCAGCCTTACTCTGAAGAGAGTTTTGGTAAGCTAGACTAGTGGAAATTTTCTCAGTATTTTTTAATCTTGCACCTCAGTGTGCTAAATTTTCAAACCAAGCCATTGCTTCTCAGGCGGCAGTCATAATGATTTACCTGTGTTGCAAGATTCAAGGTAGGTCTTCTTACACTGTGCATCACAATAAATACAGGTGATGGAGCTTTTACAAATTCAGTTAGTTCCTTAGAGAGAGTCTCTAACTTTACACTTTTTTATGATTTTTGCTCAAAATAATGGATTAGAACTTAAGCAATCAGTCTTACTATCTACCTGGTACACGCCAGAATTCTCAGTCATCCTTAATTGTATTGACTGGGTGGTTCATTGGGAAAAAACCCCAAACCAAACAAAAAAAATCTCCCAGTAGTTAAAACTCAGTTCTGTCACTAGTTTAGAAAGAACCGACTCTCCATTCATACAAATGAGGAAAAGTTCTGAACATGGAATACTAATCAGTACGAAGGCCAGCTGTATGAAGTACAGCTGCCCATGTAAACGTAACAGTTTGTGCACTCTGTGGATCATCGTGGATCCACTTCAGTCACTTTCTACTTTCAGTTCAAGGATATTGGGCATTGCTAACAGCGATGGATTTAAACTTGAGAGGGACATCCCCTGCGTACATGTTCTAGCACTGAGAAGTTTGCAGACATTAAAAGTATGAAAATAGAGAGATTAAACTATGCTATCCTGGCAGCATTTTCATCCATGAGTGAAATCTGGGTTTTCTTAGTGTGAATTCATTAGTTTGGTTGAATAGGTATGCTTAGGGTGATTTTTATTTACAGGGGAAACACTTAGCATAAAGTGAAATTTCATTGAAAAGTTTGCAACGACAAAATAATGTAATGTATTCAGCGTGGTGGGCAGTACAAGCAGTAGATAAAATTCCCTCTCCATCTCTTTCTTTCTCAACAGTAAATTTCATCATAGTCATAGGAACCCTAATAGGCGATGGATATCCCCTTGTTTGGAGACTTGCAAACCAGTTGGGTCTCTCTTGTGTTTAGTAAATTAATTTTTTAAATGAATTCTCATCAAGTTTCTGATTATAATTTCTTTAAATTTAATGTTTGTCTTTCTGATGAAAGACAAACATTTTGGGGGCAGTCGCAAGGGACATGAATAATTTCTTCAGAAGCTTATCTAATTAATTACATTTCTCTGTAATGTCTTTAAAATTTGAACTGCCATCATTTCATTAATTTAGATAAAAGTAAATCTGTAGTGTTTAAATATGACACTAGTGCTGAGAATTCTGATAACCTCAAGATTCATTGTCTGTATTGTTATCAAGTTAAGATAAAGAAAAAGTGTTTACATTTTTTGGAATTTATGATTTGCATAATAACTTTTATTTGATTTCAAATACATTATTATTTCAGTTCATCTCACCTGCTAATAAGTAAGATCATATGATGCAAAATGGACATAAAAATTACTCTTAGAATATTTTGGTGGGGATTTCCTTTTCTCCTGTAACATGTTTCTTTCTGAACTAAAACATTTGACTCCTTCAAATGGGAAGCATTTAAAGTTTGACGTCTTGTAATCTTTCATATCCAATACAGGTGGAATTTCAATATTTCAGGCTGTCCAGTGAACATAAAGCCTTTGGTTATAGCACTAGGACATTTGGTGATAGCCTGGTTTTGTGTCTTTTGAAATAATTATTTTTATGCTATTTCAAAGTAATGTTAGTAGAGCAATTGAAATTCACACATTTGGATTTATAGGTGCAGCCTCAAAAATTATGGCTGTCTTTAGCACACAAGGAAAAAAAGGATGTAAGAGGTAGGGTTTGATTAGGTCACAACACAATTAACTTTGATGGAAACCACAAAATACACAACGTATACAGTGATTCTTCCTTTAATCGTCTTTACCACTTGTAGGGCTGCCACCAGTTGCTACCTGCCCACTGGTGGAGCCTGACATACTTCTGCTTTGTAGATGTTTGTTATGAGAGGTACATTGAATACCAGGCGATAGGAACTTCTTCTCCTAAGCCAGAGAATAGAACCCACATGGACTGATGACAGCTTTGGACTAATGCTAAGCTGTCACAACAACTGCAAGTAAGTTGATACCCTGAATTATGGCAGCAGCTTTCTTGCTTGCATAATAATTTAGGCAAAAGCACATAGGTTAGTTACGTGTCAGACCCAGAGTTTAATTCACATAGTGTGCAATTCTTCAAATTGTTGATGATATAAACAAGATAAAATACTATGGTTGTAAAATAACACTCACTAAGAGGTGGATTTTTAAGCTAGTATTGAGTTACTTGTAGAGGTATGCATGCACTGTAAAACCGTGTTTTAAAGTCCTCAGTTTAAACTAAATTCATGTTTTTGCTCTTTGGGAAAAATATCCTAAAATACTTGTTAATAATCTCTTAAAATAAATTAGCCATACTGAATTGAAGCAAAGACATTAGAAACTGACTGTGAAATCTGTTCAAAGTAGAATGCAAACTATTGGTTAACTTTTCTTTCCTTGCAGCTTAACAAGGTTATTCTACTCTTTACAGTGATAAGCACTTTAATGCAAAATAGCTTTATATTATAAATAATGAGGCTTTATTTCAGTGAAGAAAGAAGTTCACAGGTCGTATTTTTGGTCAGCAGTAGATGAATCAAAGTGCTTTAATAGTACGGTTTTGGACTAGTTTTAGTTTTACCCATCTAGTTTTGCCTATGTCAATCTACGATCTATCTTTCTCACAATGTGGGTCTCCACATTAGTTGTATTTGTAATGAAGAAATAATAGATGTGCAGTCGGAACAATTAATAGAGTAAAATGCTCTGTGCTCTGCTAAAGATAAACAAAGAAATAAATCTATGTTGTTTACAGCCTTCCCTTTTCCATGTATAATGGACTTTATCAATAAAACAATACAAACTTCATCAAAGAAAAATCTTACCAATTTAGTCCAAGAAAGGTCTTCATTGAGCTAATCTCCAACAAATGCTGTTTGCAATAGGGATCTATTTATTCTTTTCAGCCGTAAAGTACTGGCCATCCTTCTTTATCTCATGCTCTAACTCTGTGATCCATTACAGATAAGACAACCCAATTAAGCAAGGACAGAAGACAGGAGGAGTGTGGTTGCTATGTATGCATTTACGTAGCAGTCCCAAATTAAATATGCTTACCTTTTATGCTTTGATTTCTTTTCTTAGGGAACCACAGTCAAGTGTCCCGGGTGCCTGTTGCTATCAAAGTTCTAGATGTAAATGACAATGCTCCTGAGTTTGCATCAGAGCATGAAGCCTTTTTATGTGAGAATGGGAAGCCTGGACAAGTAAGTATCTCCATGGTTTTTTGTTGGGTACTTCGGTGTGTAAGAATGGGGTGCAGTTTCTCTCTGTCATTTTATCTTTATTCTCAAAATATGTGCCTATGTGTGTTCATGCTAACGACTCTTAACAATCATTTAAGATAAACCTATGATTGTATTCTGTGGTACATCTCTCTATATATGGACATACATATTCTTTGAAGTATAGGTTTTAAATTAAAGGTAGCTCTCTTGGGACAATATCGAGAAAAAAATGCGGAGTGTCTTTAAGCTCCCGCTGTTTCCACTCTGTCTGATGGAGCTCATGACTTCATAGGTTCGTGTGTGTTAATGGGCAAAAGTATAATCCAACCTGAATTCCAGTTCAGTTATTGAACTATATTGTAGCTGTTCCCAGGTATAATTTAGAAGAAACACTTAAAACAACAAAACCATTTCCTCTTACCCGTATCTCAGTTATAATCTCTATCTATTTAGTTCTTACTCACTTTTCTATGACAATTGGGAAAAAACCAAAAAATCAAACCAGAACTAGATGGAAAGTCAAGTAAATTGTAACTGCATGTAAAATATCTAGAGAGGGATGGGGTGATGGAGAAGTGGAGTTCAAGTTTTCATTATACCCCACAAAAATATAAATCAAAACAGGTTATTTGCTTCTTGACTTAATGAAATAAAAGGGTTGGCAAAGGAATTTACACAACATTCTACAAGGTGAAATAAACATAGCAAGATATCAGAAGCAAGATTTCTTAAAAGGCGTCCATATTGAAGGACAAATGTACAGAAATAGGGAAGTATATCTCATATGCCAGATGAATGACAAGATAAAGACTCAAGAAAATGTACAGACTTTCAGAAAGTAATGCAGTGTAAATGAGATTTAACTTTTGTCCTGCTTGAGAAACACTGTATGTTACAACAAATCACTGTTTTTAAACTAATTTATTTCTAGATTGTGACATTTTATTTAAATAAACAGCATCTGACAGCATGACACTAGTCTTGTTAATCCAACTATTCCTGTGTCTCATGTGGGTGTTTAGGCATTAAATTCACTGTTCTCCAAAGAAGGTTACCTGACAATAGAGTTAAAAATTATTTTCTTTTTGTAGTATATGACAACCTACCTCTGCCAAGACTGGATTGTTACAGAAGATGATTTGACTTCTAGCACCCCTTTTTGTTTATTAAAAAGGTGTCAAAAATGTGTCATTTAAGAAATGAGAATTCTCTCTAACCACTGAAAAGCAGATTATTGAAATGTGCCCTTATGGGCAGACAGATATGTTACAGTTGGTATTTAAGTTCTTCTAGCTCAGAGTGGATTTCTTTTTAGCTCAGGGTGGATTTCAGATGCTGAGTAGTTACATTTTCTAGGATATGTTAAATTCTAATGAGTATACCTTTATCCAGGGCTCAGTAAGCTTCCCTGAAATCAGTAAACTGTGTTGCACAGTGTTTTGTGAATACGTTTATCTAGGTATTCCTATTAAATTTCAGGAGGTTTAAGATATGGTGAAAAATGTTCCCATTTCATTTTGGAATAAATAAATAAATAAATGAGATGGTTAAGAGTCAGCTGGTAAAAGAGGCTTTCATTTAAGCACTTACGGAAAACTTTCATTAAACCATGATAGTCTTCGTCTTACCATCACCTTTAACACTCTTGATCTGATGGCAGATGTCACTTCTGAGCATGAACCCCTGTGTGTACTTTACAGATGCTTATTAAATATTTGGCTGCCTGTATGGATGAGGTGGCACTGATCCTGCAATTTATTCTGTGTTTTAAACAAATAACATTATTGGAACAGTAACCAGTCCAGAATAATCACCAAGGTTGGGTTCTAAATTTAAGTTGTCATTCAAAAATTATCTGCTTTTCTAAAGATTTTTGTATCTACATTACCTGATTGTTTTTTCTTCTGCTTATTATTCTGTCTTCAAATTTTGGAAGAAATCATAGTAATCAGTCAAGATGTAAAATTCAAAATATTAAATGTGTATCAGCTGTGAAATAGCTAATATGAGAAAGACGCTACTCTCTTACATAGTAGCAAAAGCCTTATTTGGATAGTTCTCCAAAGTTTAAACTTGAACGTTACATGTGCACAATTCTGTTATGATATTCCAATCTATTTACATTTAAGTTCAACTTAAATCTTAGTTTAAATCAAATTTGAATTACCATAAGGGAGATTACATTTGAACCTTTTATGAAACCTTATTTGCAGCCCCTAAATATTTTGAACCGTCTATTCCAGTTCGGTTTCTAAGTGTTCTGTTTTGGGTTCTGATGTAATTGCAAGTGGCAAGTGCAGCTGCTGGTGATGTGACAGAATGTATTAAAAACTGTTGATGTATAACATTGCCAGATGCATTTTCTTTGCTTTAGCCTACCTCTAATAGTAGAGGTACAACACACAGTAGGAGAGGAAGGGGAAAGGAGGAGGAAATGTATTTGTCCATGCACATATTTATGTAATCCTTGCACATTTTTACACACAACAGAAAGTTGCCAGAAATGTTTTTTGTCAGTGTTAGGAAGAAAAAAGGAATTGAATGTACTGTTACAGTACCTCTAAGCTAACCATAAACCAGCTCATGCCTTTCTCTATTATTTTATTTTTTCATAATTCCACTTATTAAAGCCAGAACATTTGTGGTTTTGCTGGCTATAGCTGTACAGTTGATTGTTCTCCAGCCCAGCTAAACTATTTTTCGGTACTCCTAGAACAGAACATCTGTATTGTTGAACATCTGTATTGTTGAGTAAGAAAATTGCCTCAGTCACTGTTCCCGTTAATACCTACTTTTCCAGTGAAGTGCTGTTTGCTCAAAACAAAGCTACAAAATTTTCAAACACTTAAATAGTGCAGAAAACGATGTATCAGTGCACAAGCCACTGTTCAAGCAAGAGTAATATAAACCTGAGTACAGTGTTCCTCCAATCTTGCAATTTGTCTCTATTTTATTCAGTTTTCCTAACAGAATTGGCTTTTTCTAGTGGAAGAAATCTTCAGATAGATCTTGGTCTCTCTGAAGAGTCAAAGCTCATTCAAATGGCAAAATGCAGGTTCTAGCAGTTAAGGGCTGGGTCTTGCTGAAAAGGCAAAATTAAAGTTGTACTGTGACAAGCGTACTGCTTGTAGTATTATCAGTCTGCAAAATAATTCAGAAATAACCATGAACACCAATGTAACTGCAACAGTTTTTTCAAACTTGAAAGAACAGTTTTAATAAAAGTAAGGAAGAGTTTACTAATGATAAGGAACCATTCTAAGTTAGGTTAACAAGTTGCATTGCAGGGAAATACTTTTAAACAGTATCATATATTAAAATCACAGATAGTAATGATACATTGATAAGAACTTCTTCTTGCTGTTTATCCTTTGTCATCATTCATTATGGTTATACTGGTAATCTCTTACAAATATTTCAGGCATATGCAGCTTTGTAGAAACACAATACAAACCTGCCAAGTTCTCCTAGGGGATCATTTAACTATTAATCTCAATTCACAGCTGCCTGTTAAGCAAAATATGCTGATTGACTCTGTTTCTACTAAATCTGTGTACAGAATCAAATATTTGCATGAATTTTTAATACAACATCAAAGTTGAAATTTTACATGGAAGAATTTCAGAAATTCAAGATTGAACAGCCAAAGGGTTATTTTCGCTGTAGTGCTTATGGATACATAGTGAAAAAATCAGTTCTTGTTTTCTTTGTTATTAGTATTGACCAATTTTGTTATATGGAACACCTTTGTTATGCGTGTTATTACTAGGAAAGAAAAAAACATCTGTAGTGATTGGTAAGGCAGGTCAGCCCTGGAAGAATTCTCTACCATTTTATGAACCACAAATTAAGAGTTGGAGAATAACTTCAACAGTGTTCCATTACGTGATCACACAACACTGAACAATAACGTATGCTCGTCAGCATACTAATAAAAATGTGGTAATGAGAATTACTGGACTTTTCTCACCCCTATGGAGTAAAAGATACAGCAGCTTTGTATCACTGTGTATATGTTATGCTTTTTTTTTTTTTTTTAAGAGCTTATTTTAATGCAAACGCACAAAGAAATAAGGTTGCTATGGGAACACTAACTCTTAATTCCTTGATGTGTGCATGTAACACAACAAAAGTAGTATTCCACTAAGCCTGTCTTTTGCATATAATTTTCGGTGCGTTTTCAGAGAAAGAATGGTTTGGTAAACAATGAAGGGAATGGATGGAAAGAACTGAAATACAAGAAACAATTCTATAGGACATTAAGAGGTATCTGTAGTTCCTGGAAAAAGAATATGCCCAATTTCTATTTCCTGAAAATTTCTAATCTAGACAATATTCTAAGCTTATTTCATAGATTTCTGTGAGCTTGAAAACCCATATTAATAATGCTCTTGGCTACTGTCTTTCAGGTACAATAATTGAAAAGCTGAAGACAGTGAAGTGAATTTTTGCAGTCAACTCTCTTAACATAATGCTGGAAAGAATTAACAGTTATGTAGCCAGTAGAGATAAAATTGCATAACCATCTGATAAATTGCACCTATTATGTGCAGTTGACCTTCCAGACTTCACTGTGCCATTATCCTTTTTCCCTGTTGCTTTTCCATCCTAGCAGTGTTTGAAAAATGGAACAATGATAACATACACCTGTCTAAAGATACTTGTTTGGGATTCCATTCTAAATTGCACTTACCTGTGATGCAGAATTATCAGTACTTATTCCAACCCAGGGCTTGACGCACATGGATAGTTCAGTACCTTACACCTCTGCAAAGAGAAAGCTGAAAATGTTCCACATCTGTAAATGGGTCCATCTCTGCAGTGGGACAGACAATATCTGCCTGTGTATTTATCATCTGTTTATATTTTTTCACACTGCGTAGCGCTCTAGGATCCATTATGCAGCTATTAAATTGGAGGCCTACTTCTTTAAGCAAAAGCTATGTTAGGCCTTTTTTTGTCCATCTCTTCTAATACGTGTGTTTGAAACCATAGCAATCAATGTTTCCACCTTGGGAGATGCAGTGATAAAAAAAATGAATCTACTTATGTGGTAATTAAACAACCTACATTTTTTTCCAGTAGATTATTGATAATAAATCTGAACTATCCAAAATATGATTAGGCAAGGAATTATTTGTCTCCGATTCCTTTCTAGGCTGTCTTACAAATTATGTATGCCTATATCAATACTTGCTCAAACATCTTTTTACATACATAATTTTAAATATTTATGTTTTGATGTTGCTCCTTGTGGTTATCTAGTAAGGTTTATTCTTTTTTTGACTCTTCGAGAACACAGAAGAAAGAACTGGATATTGACTGTTATATATGTAACATATACAGATTGATTGTCCTTTCTCTTGCAGTAAAAGCAGTATAAACTATTAGTTATTAACATTTTATTAGTGAAGCTTTGAAAATTTGAAGTACAAGTCTATGAATTTGGACAGCATCAGACCCTGTTTCCATTTTTTACTCTACTCTCTAAAAAAGAAATTTGTAGTGATTCCTAATTTGTATTTTAGTTGTCCAAGAAATTATTTGTCAGTTGCTTTAGGCATTATAAAAATAACTACATAAGACAAAAATGTCGTTGAATGCAGTGGACATGGGAAAGGTCAATAATTCTCATTAAATTTCTCATAAACCTCATCTAGCATGAGCTAACTACCACTGAAATTCAACTCTTGAGTGCAGGATCTGGATCCACAGTTGTCAGTTTCTACTTTCCTGGAAAATACTCCGAATCAAAAGTAATTGCAGCAAACATTAAAAAAAATAATAAAACAAACCTCCTGATTATTTTCAAATAATGTTTTCTCCTTTCATATTCCTGTGCAGCTCTGTATGATTTGAAGATGATGAACCGCAGTATCTTTCTGAGTAATGCTGGATAGCACATATATAGCATGGCTATATGAATGAAAGACTTCCATAGGCATCATGAGTGTTTCCGAAACACAGTTTTCTTTCTTCTTTATTGCTCAATAGTAATTTATTACTTGCCTAAATCAGCAGCATTTTTTTACTGGCCTCTGTTACATACCTGTCTCTCCTTATTCTCTGCCTCTTTGTTCTGGAAGGAAACAGTTTAAATGGGCCAGATACAGTCCCTGTTCCCCAGACTTTCAGTCTAAGGCTTGTAAAAGCCTTGCAAGATTATAAATTAGCATTTTTAATCTGGCATGTAGACAAATGAGAATGTGTCCAATAGAATGGAATGGTTTTTTTCAATCCTGTAGTTTTATCAGGAGTGTGAATACTTAATGAGAGCATTTTCTGTTGTAGGTAATTCAGATTGTCAGTGCCATTGACAAAGATGATCCTAAAAATGGGCATTATTTCCTGTACAGTCTTCTTCCTGAAATGGTCAACAATCCAAATTTCACCATCAAGAAAAATGAAGGTAAATACAAAACATACATCGTGTATCTGAACAACTTAGTTTTGAATTGCTTTGTTGACTTCCCGTTACTTTACTAGTTTGTCCTTTGGGCAATTACAGTGTAGATAATCTCTTTAATGTTACCTTCATTATATCTCTTAAGCTTTATATCAATAACTTCACAGTAGATAAGAAGAAAGTAAAATGAATACTGAATTTAGATCCAGAAGACAGCTCACTGGCTTAAATAAAATAAAAGGATGGATTTACTGCCTGTTTTATTTCTATTAATTTGAAATTCCAGAGGTATGCTATAAGATGAAAATCTGAAACTATGTTGATAAATAAATGTTGATCCTACATTGACTGGATATAGATGGGAGCATAAAATTAAGCATCTACTAAATCCCCCAAAGGAAACACCTTTTAAGTCTGTTTGTTGTGTGCATAAATGTTCCAAAGTATTTCAGTTAGAAAGAGAAATCTGCTAGGTCAGCAAAGCCCGGAAGGGCACTTTGTATCACTAAGCTTTAGAGTACTTCTGGAAGGGCATAATGTCATTTTATAGTACTATAGAAGTGGAATTCCATGCGTGATGGAAAGAAAGACCATTTAATATTGTTGGGCAATAAATTTACACTGATCCTGTTCTTTGGCACACAGATGTATTTGAAGGTCATGTGAGAAAGCTATGAATGATCACAAGAATGCTATAAATAGTGCTTTAGGTATTTGTACTTACTTGAATACTCAGCAAAGTTTTTCCATCTTGGCTTTTTTTTTTTTTTTTTAATAAAACACTACCCTGTCAGGAATTTTAGTGACATTCAGTCTCTTATTTCTCTTATTTGAAATGATAATGAAGGAATCCCTATTTAGTCCATTACTAATAAGAAGATGTATGTGTGATGTGCATGTGCATGAGTGTGAAAGTAATAAATGAAGTGTCAAATAAAGAGAAAATGCTGTTTTCGTTTTTTATTCTAGCTGTTCCAACCAAGAAGAATGATGGCACCATTTTATTAAATGATACTGTAAATTAAATTCTTAAATCTGCTTAAATATATCCTGAATTTGTCTTTTCATTACATATGTTTTTCTCTTCTAGCATTCACAATGTGTGTCTCTACTTATATGCATACTTTCATATAGGAAATCAGACTCTCTATGTTTTCTGCACTTCAGGAGAAGATAAAACAAATCTCTTCAAAATGCATTTCATAATCATTGGTAGTGTAACACAAATTGAATTAAGCATCCTAAATGTGAGGTGGTTTGCTTTGCACAGCATGACGAAGTAAAAAAGGTCTTAGCATTTCCGTTTATGTTTAAATACCTAGCTCACATCACTAATTAGCTCTGTCCTTCCAATCAGTTACCCATTTAGGACCCACCCTTACTCCTAGTCACAGCCAATGGCAAAACAACTCTTGATCTGAGTGGGAGTGAGGAACGTTTTATATAACATGGTTTAGAAAAACAAGTCCGATTTTGTTACAACATTGCCACTCAGCTTTACAGTTTTTAATGCATTTCAATCAATTAAATATTTAAATCCTCTTAAAATAACCAACTGAAATCTCTTGAAATTGAAAATCCATTTGAAGTTACTTTTCTGATTTAATCTTTCAGTATCCAAGAATAAAATTCCAACTATGTATACCATCCTTTTCTATCAAGATTGCTCAGGCAGGGATGCAGTCCATGGTGGATGCTAGAACATGATCTCCCACAGGAAGCAAATATTCCTGTCAAAGCCAAAATCAGGGTATAATTTGGTTGAGGTGAGGTTTCATGTCATTTAAACATCATAAATCTTCAGTAAGTCTTTATATAGTTACGCCACTTAAACAATGAACTTGACCATGACTTTGTCTTGCATATATCTGCTCGATAAGCACGAGTGATTACTCCTGTTGAAGAAACTCCAGTGTTCCTAAAAAAACTGAACTCATAAGCCAAATTCCTCCTTAATGAGTGTCTGAGCTGTCCAAAAGCCAGTTTGGTGTGGTTTATTAGAAGCAATGTAAGAGAATGCCTGTAACAAACAGTACTGTCATTTCTGGAGAACTGTGTTTCTGAGGATCATATCAGTGCACAACCCACTTAGGCTTGGAACGGCAAAACATTTCCTCATGCCGATGGGCAAAATCCTTGACATCTTCCTGAAGTGAGACCTCAACCTCAACTTCCTCCCATATTCTTGGCTCTGCCAAATTCTTCAAGGCAGGAGAGACTGCCTTGATGGCTGCTGAAGAAATGCTATCCTCTTACGGATTTTATAAATAGATTGCATTTTCTCAGGAAACCTAATGTAGAAACCTGATCTTTTATTTGCTAGAATTACTATTTTTTTTTCCTTTATTTAAATAATATTTCATATCTTGCCTTTCTCCAAAGTTCTCTCAAGTCCAGAGATAAACAAAAGTACCCCTCCTCGAAAGCGCTTGTGAAATTGTGTTACCCTTTGGGATTCTTCTTTCGTGCTTTAGGTAACATTGTGGCATTTGGCAGTTACTTCCCTACTTCACGAAGTAATGATGTTATCTGATCTGGTGGCACTAGCATGCAAACAATGCAGTTTGGCATCTGCCATGGGAAGAATGCTGTGATATTCTGTTTCTGTTCCTCATACTGAAGAGTATATAAGATGCGTGTATTTTGGAATTTTCTCTTACTATATGGAATATGAGCATAACCATTAATCTAGTTTGTTGCCTACAGACTAATTCTATTGTTTAAACTTTCCAGATTGCTCTAAGCAAGTTTGCATGATACTTCAGCAATTAACTGTGCTGCCCAAATGTACTACAAAAATTATGATCAGCTACGTTGTTATTGCCAAGTATGTTTAACTGAGTGACACAACAGTGTATCTTCATCAGAAACCACAAAAAAGCCCCACTTCTCCTATGATTATATTATGTATTATAGAAATTACCCTGTGATCATAGCAGAATCTGTTCTTTGAAATGATATACTGGTATTCTTTATTTGTTTGGTCTATTAAATATACATATCTACAATCCCTTCGGTAGACAAGATGCCCAAAACTGTAGAGTGCCTTTCTGATGTAAGTAATGTAAAAATGTAAATTTAAATGTCTTCATACAGTTCACTGAATGTCTTTAGATCATCTCTTAGAAATCTTTATTTTTCATATCTTCTCATCTGTTGTTTTTGTTCTTTTCTGAGCTCAAATGTTTGTACAGAGTTTTTTTTCTTAAGCTTTGTGCCTTGGCTAAATGGGCAGCTACTGATAATCTGAAGTAAAGCAATCCTACTCTCTCAAACCGTAATGCAAGGAATACTGATCATTTAGATTGCCAGATGCATAAACCTTTATCCCTTCACAAGAGAAATAATAGAATTATGTAATAAAAATATGAAAAAATATAATGCAACATGAAAATCATGCATTATTTTCTATGTTAGTCCTTGTGACTAAACCTGTGACTCCATGACATAACAAATCCTTGACTACATAAACTCATCTAGACTGACTCTCTGGTCAGTTGCTATTCACATGTCTTTGTGCTGGGCTTCTGCATAGGAGCAGAAATGTGAAAAATTAAAATAAATGTTTTGTGTGGAGTTTCTGATAGACTTCAAACCAGAAAAAAAATAAAGCTTCAGATGAAAATACTGATGTTTAGGCAGGTATTAATACACTCTAGCAGTGTGTTGTAGATTCCTTAGCTGAATGGCATTAACCCTTCCAAAAAGCTGTAGGATCACAGTAAATGACAAAAAACTGTCAGGAATTTAGACAACTGGTAAGGATTTTGTACTGTCGTGGGATTTTGTACTGTCATGGCATCAGTAAATTGAAATGAGACCTCTGAAAATGGAATTAGCATTTGTTGACAGTCTTTTTCAGGTGAGTGGTCTTCACAAAGCGTTAACTAAAATCTAATGCTAGTACATGGATCGTCTCCTGTGTCCCAAACAATACGCTCAGAGCAGCAATACCTGTTTTTCAGCGTTGAATACCTAATGTTCTTATGGTTTCCTTAGGTTGTTCAAGTGAGAACAGAATTTTGTGATAAAAGCGTTTTCACAGATGTAAACATTTTGATATGCTGCCAATGCAATTTTTGCTTTCAAAAACTAGCAAATACATCTTTGCCATAAAGGACTTAAAGTTTTTCCCAGAAGATGTTTCCATTGCTATGCCATTTTTCCTATGCCAAATTCCATTTCCTAATGGAATAAACCCCTAATCAATTGTTCTACAATGCCTTTGGATGCAGTAACTCTTCTGACAGTAGAAATGGTGCATCTCTACTGTATAAATGTGATATCGCATACCTCTTACTAGGACTTATGTAGTAGAAGCAATCACAGGGTTGCTTGGAACATGGGCAGGCCTTATCTTTGGGTTAAGAGAACCATCTTAATGGCATGCATTCCTATTCCTGCGAGGTCCAAGAGCCTTACGAGTACTCAGCCTTCCCCCTCCCCAACATATTCAATGTCCATCTGGTGATTCGAGCTCTGAATTTGCGCCAGACTGATTTTAGTGAGTGCATAGTAAAGAGGGTTTTTTTTTTCTTTTTAAATTGTAGCATTGTATGCACTTCAGTGATGAACTGTTCTGTTGGTTCTCTATAATGAACTTAATATTTATTCTCAGCCATGCTTAGTCTATTATACCTATGGTAACTATAATAGCTCTAAGAATTTAATGTTTAAATGTCCATTGCTTTTGTTCTTTCCATCTAGCAAGTTCAATCTGTCACTTAACGTCCTCATTGTGCTGCCTTGAAAGTGTAGGCAGTGTGTCATGTATCTAAAAGGAAATAGCCTGGTATAATCACTTCAATCACTAAGTGGCTTGCATTCCTTTGTATACTATTGCACATCTTATTTTAAAATATTTGCTATTTCTCATAATCTCTTTACCATTAATAAACAAATATTTCTAAAGTATTTAGAAATAGCCGGAGAAGACAATTACATGCAACCTCTCTTTTAGATATCCCAAGTAATAAAAACAAATGATCGGCACTGCTTCATTT